TTGGCCGTGTCTGATTGGTCAAATGGAGTCTATAGTCGGCCAATGGGAGCACAGTTGCCAGGCAGCCTGAGCTGAGTTTGGAGGCGGCTGGAGCCTAACACAGCTGTTCCATTGAAACACAGCAGGCCATAATAACAAGGGCCCCTCACCATGAGCTGCTCATACACAAAGAGGCACAAAAGTCTGGATTCAATTAAAGTCGAGGAGTTTGGCACGGTTTGGGCAGGGGCCATTTTGGACTCCAGTTGTAAACAGTCATGATTGTATACTGTTTTCATGGATTATAAAAGTTAATGTTTTTAAGACATGCAACAAGTTACAACTTTTACACTCAAGTTAGTTTAGACACATTTTAAAACTTTTTCCTTTTGAATCACTTTTTTTCATAAACTAATATTGTTGTAAGTAATTTACAAAGTTATAGTTGACTTTTTTAGATCAGGTTTTAAAATAAGAAAACATTCTATAATATAATATAAGATAAAATGAATTGCATTAAAAATGCAAGTTTCTGTACTTTTGGTTTTGGTTCAAATGCTTAGTGACTAACATAAACAATTCAATATTTCTATATTCAGTATTTGTAAATTTACATTTTAGATATGTCATGTGAATAGACCATGTTATCTTGGCCTTATCTCCCACCTAGCAGAATGATTTTCTAAAATCTGAAACCTACTTTCTCAAAGAGTTGTTGTTCCTGTATTCGTAACATTAGATCTCCACCATGTGCCAGTTCTAGGTTGTAATAAACTATTATATACATAACTATTATTTTCCATGTTTGTTCAACATGTACAAACAGTTCTACACATTATCAGGCTCAGAAAGCAGCTGCTCAAAGTTTATTTGTACTGCAGTGGGAGCAATCTAAAGACTGGAGACAAAACACAGCCCTAGTTTGTCCACTCTCCTCTTTCACAAGGTGACACATTGGCCAATAGCACTGGAGAATTGTTAACCAGACCCAATGACCCACATCACCAGCAAAATGTTGTTTACCCATCTGTCCCTCTTAGCGCTAACCATTCCAAGCTTACAGACTTCCACCCACGAGTTTCACACTTGTTGCTTTGTACTAAACACCAAAAAGCACTTTGCAAAAATGATTAGACCGAGCCATAGGCAGGCGAGATTGAAAAAGGATCGGCGTACTGCTTTATGTAGCATATGGTGCCCTTTTTAGATTATAGAATTAATAACAGGCCACGCTTTCAGACCCACACATGCGCACACACTAATATTAGCATTATGGTCTAAATGGAGATTTTAGTTCATGAGTCACTAAACATGAACAAAAGGCTCATTTATAGGACAAAGGGTATACAGCGGTGTGGCCCAGAGCTGCTCATTCATTCGATATGAGTTGCACAAATGTCAGACTGTAGCTTTCTGTCTACTCTCCTATTCTTCACTCAGTGCCAAAAGAAGCACATTGATCGCTGTGCTTCACTATGGGAAACGTCAATTCTCAAAGGCTACAGGCAAAGACTTGTACTGTAGAATGGATCAATGGTGTTTTTCTTGTGATACTGCCTGTTGTTATGACTTTCACGTTTTAAAGGGGGGTAACATTTCGAAGGTGAAATTAATTAACAAAAATATTAAACATACTGGATATTGAAAACCAGTATTATTACATAAATTATACCCCAAAGTTATGTAATTCAAAACTACTGGTAACTGCGTGTTTATTAGCCCCTTAGTTGTACTGTATATAGTTGTGTACTGTACTATAAAGTGAATGCAGATTAAGCTGTTTAAATTCAAACCTTATTCATTATTTTGTTACTATTATGTTTCCTTTATCCCATGAATTTGTTGTTTTGAATTGCCTTAATGAGCACTGACCTGACCTTGAAATGATCATGATACCCTGGTTGTGTTGTTTTCAACTCTCACTGACTCACACTTGTTTTAAGATTCATCCAAACCAAATCATCTGTTTGGTTGTGACGTCTTTTTAAATGTACACTTTTAAAATTGATATTCTTACAGTTTGATCTAGTCACAAAAGTGAGATAAAACTGTTGAACACATCCAGAAGTATAATTTGGAGGAGCTATTCTCGTCTGGGTTAAGACAACACTCTGGCCTTGGGGGACCGCTGTGATGTTAAGCAGGAAAAATATTTTGATGTTCTTGTGAAGCAAAGCCACAGTGGATCTACCTTATTCTCACAGCCAGATAATTTATTATTTTGAGTTGAAATAGTATGGTTTTGTGTTGTTTCTGTAAAGAACACACGGAGCATAATAATGAATAAAAAATTTCTTGAATTATTATTATTAAATAACATTTATCATGAAAACACCGAACCACCACCTTATAACTACAATTAGCCCTGAAAAGCATGAAAAAAGATTGAATGCATAATTAACAAATGAAGAATGATTCAGGCTTAGTAAGTACATAATGATGAGGTTAAAGTTCAAAGTTAGGGTATAGATTAAGTATACATTAAGCCTGAATCATACTTAATTTTTTGTTTATGCATTTTAAGGCTAATTAAAGTGTATATTTTCTGACAAATATCTTCCCAGTAATAGAGTGAATAGCCTATGCTCTGTGCTAGTTTTATGATACACTACTGTTTAAGACTATACACATGGCTCTAGGTTTACAACATGTGAGGTTCCTGGTCTCCTCAGATAAAGAAAGTAGAAAGTCCATCCCTATTGTGTGCTCTGAGTCACGCACACTATACACAAATGTGGGTCTGACGCTCCTAGCCAACAAATTGATCGCAGTCTGGTGACCTTTGACCCTGTTAGTAGCCCCCTCCGCCGCTGCTGTGGCTCTGGCCTCAGACAGGCCCACAGCAGATGGGATGCTCCGGGGGGAGGGGTAGTGTTACAACCACAGCCGTCCTGTCAATCAAGTCCCTGAAATATTGCCTTAATTTCCAGTATCTTCTACAATGAGCTCTATGTCAGTGATGTATGGAGTCTGATTGAATAATGTGCTTGTGTTTACTGTAAATTAGATTGCTTGTGGGGGAAAAGCAAGGGGTGTTAATATTGTCATTAATTATGTGTGCAATTACCATAAGCTAAATCAATATACACTACAGGCAATAAGTGTAGTACGCCATGCACCATTCTGAAATATAGACTGCTTTAAAAAATAAGGAGAACATATTCACAAGCACAGCCTTTAAGAACAAATAGCCATGTCTTTGAAGAGATCTTAGAACAAAATAGATTCTGTGAGTATGAAAGCTTACATTATGGTCCATTATGTGTGTGTGTGTCTGTGTACATATATATATATATATATATATATATATATATATATATATATATATATATATATATATATATATATATATATATATATATATATACACACACACACACACACACACACACACACGCACACACACATATAGATATAGATAGATAGATAGAGACAGCGAGAGAGAGAGAGACTGCCTTTTTAGCAATTAGCAAAACAAGTTTAAGTTAAAGCTGCACTTTATCTAGTGGATGGTTTGCCACGGTTGTCTCCATGGAGATGCCTGCAATGTTCCACAGTAGCATTAAATGTATCTGTCTTGTATTAATTCAAAAAAGATTAATTCTTATTGTGAATACACTCAGCTCTTCACTAATTTGGCCTGTAATTTGACCTGGTGACAACACCTGCTTGTCTCCATAGAGATGGATAAGTTTAATGCCATGTGGAAGATCCTAGGAAAAGCTAGGATGTTTCTATAGAGACAAGCTGGTGGCAAACCAGAAAAGTTACATAATCCACCTTTAAAATTGTTAGCGTTATTTTAGAGTTAACAAAAATACATGTTTTAATAAAGAAAAGTAAAATAAAATGTTTACTTACTGATTTTAGTTAGCTTTAAACACTGTTACATTTATTCTAACGGTAACCTTTTAAAACTGCTACATTCTGCCACAAGGAGAAACTAAAACAAGCATAAAAAGTAAAAGTCAGAGCAAAGGTTACATTTCTATTTTATAACAATCACTAAATTGTCAAACCAGAATGGAAACTGGCATAATGCCATCAATGGGGAATAGATATAACCACACAGCGTGACTATGGTCTATAGAAATCAGTTAAAAACAGGGCCCTGAAGAGTCCAAAACATCCCAGAATACTTCATAGCACATTCCACACTGGACTGACAGGACAGTTACCTACTCTGACCTCAGTCCCCATGACAAATACATTACACATACCGACTGAACATGTCCACCCAGGATCATCACTGGAGAGCTGCTGTCAGTGGAACAAATGAATCAGAGTTTCTATACATTCACACAAGTGAACAAGCCCTCTATAGACTATAAAGTAAAAAAAAACAACAACAAAAAAAACAAGGACATAAGGAGATGTGAATACACTGATTTGTCTGGACAGATTGTAAATAATGACGTGTATATAATAATAATAATGTTGTATAAAACAGGTGTTAGTTTTAATGAATATCCACCCCACCCCCTTCATTATTACTGCCTTTGACACCTCTTCTGCTTTACATTACATCACCTCCCCAGGAAATGAGATGCTCAAACTCATATGTGTTAATAGACTCCGGCTGTTTTCCGGTGGACAGTTATTTACATAATTTTTCCATTTTATTTCTGCCGTATGATATTTATCTTAATCTTGTCCCTCTCATCTTACACCATTGACATTGACTGAACTCCTGGTGTCATCTGCTGTACTCAATACAGTGCAATAATATGCAAGACAAGTCTGTAGCAGGGCAACATTACACCTATCAGTCTCTACTGACCCTCCGTGGCTGAATTGTGTACTGCAGTCATATTTTTGTCATTACGGTGTTTTTCCAGTAGATGTCAGTGGTTCAACCTGACAAGGAAAGGAATGGTCATTATGGCTGAAATACTTGAGAAAATATGTCGTGCGAAGCGACTTTGCAATTGTGATTCTATTTGTGATTAGGGTTTTTATTATATTAATCATGCCAGAATAAATATATTTGCAGTTGTTTGTACTTCTGCCTAAGGGGGAAATGTCCCTCTGGGGCAATAAGTAAATTTTGATTCTGACATTTATGAAAGCTCCCTTGTTGGTTGTTGTATTATTGCTTCAAGTATCAGAATGAGTCAGATTCTTCTATAATGTAAATAACAGGAGAAAAAAAATCATATTAATTGGCACAGCACCTTTGTGCAAGTTCTTTGTTAATTTCTTGATATGATAAATAGGGGAAACAAAAACATACAACAATAAAATACTCTCTGAAATACTATAAAAAATACTTTCATGAAATACTATACCTTTTAAACCCAATTATGCCACCAAGTCCAACAAGATGTAACTTTGAGCAAACCCAATTTGCTTCCTTCCATTCTCTTCATTAGCATGAGGAGGCTCCAGACTTCCAGACATCCCTGGGTATCATAATAGCAATCAAAGGACAGTGTGCTGTAGCCACTTGTCACACTAATATAATCAGTGGGACGCTAATGTGACCCTGAGCGCAGCAAACAGCCGTGACCTCTGACCTCTGCTCCACTTTCTCACTATTGATCCTGTAGATTCTTCTGATGTGGAGGGTAAGTGTGAGATTTTTCCTTGGGCATAAAGGCCTTAAAGGGGCTCTCATTAGGGACTATGTGTAAGTTTCTATCCAGGAATACATCATTATAGTCTACAGCTGTACCAGTCTCCAGTCATTCAGTCTGTCCAGAGCTCCAGCAGAGACAGGTGTGGAGCAGTCAGACCCATGCTTCTACTCCCAGGTAAGTGGCTAATAACTGAGAACCAATAGCTCTCTATTATAGAAGTGATGGACAGTTTTTGACCTAGACCCTCTACTATTTTACATTATAGAACAAAATGGAGTTGTTGACGCTGATGCTGGTGCTCCCTACAATTTACGCACAGCCCTGGCATGTTTTGCAGGCTGGTGAGTATAGTGTATTACTGTATAATAATAAGGGGTTTATAGGCCTGCCTGTACAAATTTTGACGTGGATATATTAATGAAGTAAGCTGATGATAAATGAGCAAATTTAGACCACAAAAAATGTGCAATACTGTTAAGAAAAATTCCTGAGCTGCAATAAATAAATAGCAGAATGAAACACTTTTGTATTTAGTTTGCATCTGTAATGAGTCATAGAAGTTATTAATTTCACCTACAGCTCAGATCTTTTCATATAGCAAAAAAAATCCAGTAATGCAAAAAATGTACACAATATTGAGTCCAAAAATATATTGTTCCAGCTTTCATATACTGAATGATAAATCGATACAGTAATTATCATGACAGGCTTTGGGGTTTACAGGGGAAGAGTGGTTAGTAATTTTGGAATGGGCTATTTTTCAGTCAGTATACTAGTATATGGAGGGATGGATATGTTTACAGCATATCAGGCCCATATTGAGTAGTAATTACATGTCTTAAATAGTAGTGATAGTTTCTGGACATTATTCAAAGGAGTAACTGATGCATTGTTTTATATTTTGTTCAGGACAAGTGAAAACACGCTTAACTGAATTGGAAGATGCTCTGTTGGCTGGAAAAGAGGAGGTCAGACAAAACTTTAACGCTGGCCTGAATCCAGACATTAAACTGCATAGTAACGAAGCAAGTGAAGTAGAATTAACCGCTGAAGCTCAAGCCATGATATTAGGTAAAACCGATAATAGTTATAGTACTGATGAAGACTATGATGATACGCAGCGATTAGTGCGGGAGGAAGAAGAGAGCATGCTGGTGGCAGGACTCCATCTTGACAAGAAGAGAGAGAGAACAGCAAAAAACAAAAGTTCACTAATTTCGTCTAACAATAATGGCCGAACTATGATTCCTGTTTCATCCACACATGTACCTTTAACCTCTGCCCACCTGTCCAGTCCTGACATTCCTTCAAATCCCACTGAGGCTACCAAGGCAATCGGTGACGTCAAGTCTGAGTCCTTCCTAGAGCATCTCCTTGCTGAGGTGTTACTGATCCCCACCCATACCTCCACAATGGAAGTAAACAAAGGACACGGTTTGATGGATCTCAGAATTCATACAGGACACAGTGAAGACAGTATAAAACAAATAGGAACTTCAACAGGACCTGCTGAGAGAACTTTTACCTACAACACTCAAGCAGCCATGTTAAGTTCAACAGAAACACAACCAAATGTACCACAAGTGACCACAACAGTAAAAACAGCAGGAAATGCATATAAACCTGAAACTAAAGACAAAAATGCATCTTCAAAAGCTTTAATTAAGACACTGGAGAAAAATGTCCCAGCACAATCAAAATCCCCCAAAAAGACAACAATAAAGAAGACAGACAAGAATTATAGTAATGCACAAACACAGCCACAGGATTTCCCATACTTCCTGGACAACTACTGCCCCCCTGAGTGTGCCTGCTATGGGAGGTAATCAAAAACTCAAAAATGTTTTTGTGTATGTATTTACATGTGTATGTATACACATAATTTTAAGTCTTTTAAAAGTGAAAAAAAATGTATAGCACACTCACATGGCCAATGTTCAAAACTATGTTTGTATTTTAAGATACTTTATTGGCAAAATCCTTTGTCAGATATTTTCTTTCTTGCTTTGGTCACCAGTACACCAATAAAAATGTATATAAATGTTTTGGACATCAGCCATGTTTTAAGCTGCCCCTCCTTGGCCTTTGGTGTGTGTTTTCACTTTCACTGTTTCACTTGAATTTTAGGTAATTCAACAAGTATTAATATTAAGTGTATCAAATAAATTAAGTGTTTTTGTTTAATGCATAAAAAAGTTCTAATTCTGAAAAAAGTTTAACAATTACAAAATAAGAGCCATACTTCTAGGTGATAGTATTACATGGAGTAGTTGCATTTGTACTTGAAGTAGTAACAATAAAACTAATAAGTAATTCTGATAAAAGAAGGCATTTTATAGTTATAGTTATAGCATTTTTTAATAGTAAAAGTAGCAGTTAACATGATTTCAGTAAACATTTTCATCTTTGCCTTCATTCCAGAGTGGTCCAGTGCTCAGATAAAGGCATGGACAGAGTTCCTTATGGCATCCCTTACAACTCCCGCTACGTCCTGCTCATGAACAATCACATCGACCGCATCCAGCTGGACCTGCTCAGCGAGTACAGCACCCTGGAGTTCCTGGCACTTACCAACAACCGCCTGACAGATGGCGCTATAGAGGGGGCTTTTGAGGGGGTTCCTGCTCTTAAACGCCTCTATCTAGACACCAACCAGTTACAAAGGGTGCCCAATGATCTTCCAACATCCTTAGAAGAACTGCGTTTGGACAATAACAAAGTAGAGGGCATGTCTGAAACAGCATGGACACACTGCCCAGGACTGTTAATACTTAGCATGAGCAACAACAGTCTGGGAAATGATGCACAGTCTTTACCGAAAGCTGTTTTATCATCTTTGTGCAAGCTCCGAACACTAAACTTGGATCACAACCAGCTGACTTTAGTTCCTTTGGGGTTGCCATTGTCTATCAAAGAGTTGTATCTGAAAGGAAACCATATAGAGGAGTTTCATAGTGGGGCTTTTAATGGCAAATCAGAGCTGGTGGTGTTGGACCTGAGCAAAAATAGACTGACAAATAAGGGTCTTCGTAAGGACTCACTGGTTAATGCCACACATTTGGAAAGCTTAAATTTAGAAGGAAACAGGCTTAAACAAATCCCACAGCATCTTCCTTTATCACTCAAGACTTTAAGTCTCGAAAGCAATCTTATAACGTCCATAAAGAAAATGGCTTTTGGTGCACTAAAAAACCTGGAGCATTTGGGTTTGGCAAGAAACAAAATCTTCAAAGTAGCAGTGGGCGCATTCAGGACATTGCCCGTTTTGCATCAGCTGGATTTAGGACACAATGCTTTGAGACAGGTCCCAAGGCAGCTATCCAAAAGTCTTCACTCAGTGTCGCTCACACACAACAGGATCCAGGAAGTGCCCCGTGACTCTTTCTGCTGGGGCAATACTACTCTGAATCTGAGCGGACTGGTCCAAGTCCAGCTGCACAACAATCCTATAGATCTGTCCCATATAGATACACAGGCCTTCAGGTGTTTAAGGGGGTTTCAGGTAGTGCACTTTTACTGAAAACAGATAAAATAAAGGTAAATTATCCATCCTATGTGGTATCCCAAAATGTGATATTTATTGTATTTAAGGCACAATTACTTCCACAATCTATTGATTGAAATGATTCTAAGGCAGCACATTATAATGCAGTGAAATTGGACTTGAAATTGGAGTGGATGCAATTATCAAATCTGAACTAAATATTCTGTTTATGGAAAAGTCTTGTTACTTTAGACCTACACAAACATGCTCTGAAATTCATGGGATTCTTGTATTAGTTTATTAGTTCATATTTCAGTGTTCTCTCAAATGTTAATGCTGCTGGAAATGTTTACAATGTGCACTCTGAACAGAATCCTACTTTTTTATTTGCTTTTTTAATACTTCAGTACATACTTAATTAAATAAGTTTTTTAACCTTAATGTCTTATCTTTTGAAATGATGTCTAATAACATTTTTATAGTAAATATATTCACTTGTGATTGCCATTAATCTGTGGTAGGTTACTAGTTTCGACAAATTAGTCACTCTGTTTTTTCCTTAAACATAACTTAATCCCCTAAAGACTTCCTATGTGACACCATGGAAGTCTCAGCAGTCATTTACCAGAAACTTTGCTGTTTTAGCTAAAGAGGAATATTGATGTCAGTGTTTGCATTGCCAGTGGAAAAGGCAACAGCGTCATGTGACTAAGAATGTAAACTATGGTTGTGAAGAGGTATCATATCACCTAAAGAAGTATAGTGTGCATATGTATTCATGCCCACATAAACATTTCTTTCAGATTATTTTCTCATAATAAAGCTTTTCAAACTCAGTCTTACCTTTGTTAAAATGCATTACAGTAACTGTGCAAAGCATGTAAGTGTACACATCACCACAAGATGGCAGTAATGTATTGCAAAAGTACTCAAGTAAAGTTTTACTAAGACAGCTAGACTGTAGTTGCTCTGGGTTGGCTTATTTCCAGTTGGTAAATACAGGATTGTGGCTATTAAAATATCTTGTTGACTTTGTGGTTGATTGTACCTCTTGGCCTCTCACCAAAATAAAAAGCAGTAGCTCCAGAAATAAGACAGTAATAAGTCATAAAAAAGTTTTACAGAAGAGAATCTGTGTAAACTATCTCCATCTCTTGTATCATCTGAAAACCACAAATATGAAAAACATACATTTGCATGAATACGCATATTTGTCTCTGGGCATGTGGCAGCCAGAGAGAAATGGGAGAATTAGCCAACGTGGAGGTGCTTTTTTCCTTCTCGTTTTTTAATAAGCTGAGCGCGAGGCGACGTGGCACTGCACCCTGAGTCTGGAGAGAGGAGCGGGGGAGGGGGTAGGAGAGAAGGATGGATCCTAGCTCCTTTTGGCTCAGCATGTGTTCAAAAGTGCAGAGGAGCAGGCAGGGAGTGCACCAGCACCTCCTTACAGTCCTGCAGGACCCTCACCCTAGATTCTGCACAAATGGGACTTGATTATGTCTATGTCATTACTTTGTGTCATTCATGCAGTCACAGGGGACACTGATTTAAACAGCAGTGCAGTATGTGGGAGTCACTAACAACCATGTGAAATGCTCTTCTGGCATAGACTGACTCCATCATATAAGTCATTTGGCAGACGCAGAATCCTGTGTTGGATGCACTTCAGTGTTTAGACTTATCCCTCAGGAGCTTTGCAAGATTAAGAGTAAGAACAGTACAGTGTGTGTCAGGGGCACCTGTAGCCACACTCATCCATTTAGTACCATTGTGTTTAGTCTGCCCTACCTTCATCGTGCCAGCCTTCATTTAGGACAACCGTTAAGTGTCTGGTGCAAGCAACACATGAATGCAAAGGGCAAGGTAAACATTACTTTTTTGTTTTGTTTATACTTCTGAGAAAATAAAGTGTTTAACATGTTATCAAAATACCACCTCATATGTGTGGATCTCAATTCAAGGAATAGTAAAATGTATTGTCCACTGTTGACCACATGTCCACTCCTCTGAGCTCTTCTGAAAGTGTGTTCATGCCAAGAAAGAAGAAGAGGGAGAAAAATACAAAAGAGCGGATATTAAACCACACCCAACATGAGCTGGCCAGATGAGCAGCAGCCAGACAGCAGACAGACACAGCAGTCGTGGAACTATTAAGCTGCTTTTTGTACTCCTATTTTAGTGAACCCAATAGCCTCCAGCTCTTAAGAAAGCTACCTATATATTACAGGCACGTATACTCCCTATATTGTTTGCATAACTTTACTCGATTCATTTCCTAAGCCTCGCCTACATGCCACAGTCTTAATCAACTCATGTATAAAGAATTTTGGTAGTTACTTTTGCAGTCCCAACGAAGGGTTAAAAAAAGTAGTCTTCAATATGATGCATTTACATGACAGAAAGAAAGGGGGCGCTTTAGATAGCTGTGAGGAGCAGTGTGGAGTTGCGGTTAGCAGAGGAGGGGAGGGCTATAAGAGTCTGGGAGGAGGGGATAGGGATAGAAACCATGGGAGCCAGAGGGACCCCTCCACACACAGGCACTACACCGTGCACTAAAAACGCGCACGCACAACTTCATAACTTTGACACAATGTTCAGCAGGAGTGTGTGAGGATTTGAACAAGCTGGGTGAAGGCAATAAGGTCCAGAAGGCTCATGCAATGTGTCTGTGGAGCTGATGCTAGACATTTGCACATGTGGAGTTTGTTACACTTAGTGACCACTAGAGGGCCTCTGCATTAGAACATGGGGATTAAAGGGGTTTCTGTTGTTCTATACAGACCTCTGCCAAACCCCTATACAAACTAAACTATTATAGAGTACTGAAAATAGTACCTTAATATGTAGAATTTTGATTTACAGTTAAGCAGACAAAAATACTAATCACAAACAAAGACTATATTTATTATTATTTTTGACTTCCTTTAAATAGTATTTTTGTATGTATGCTTTTCTGCTATTGTTGTACTTTCCAATGCAACACTGATATTTTGTCACTGTGGGACAAATAAATTCAATGTATTTTTGTAGAGGTCAAAATTAAAATGGGCAGTAATTTTACAACGATTTTGCTAAGCCTGAAAGCTTGTAAGAATTGCTGATGTAACAAAAAGAGGGCTAGAAAATTAAACAGAGAAGCAGATCTTTGTAAATAAATTATCTCTTATTCTTTTAATTCATTAAATTTTTAAAGTCTGGACCAAATTGCCTGTATTATGAAAGAGAAGAGCCTGTTCCACAATGTCTGCTTGTAGTCATTGCATAAAAGAATATTCTTGTAAGTGTTACGAATGTTGATCCATTGTCCGACATCCATGTGTCCTTGGGGTCTTCCTGGAAAAGCTCTACCTGTCTGAAAGCTCTCTGATGGAAAACCTGTGTGGGGTCAAAGGTCATTCTTCTTCACTCACTTCCTGAACATTCCTTACTTTACGCTGGCAGACTGTGGAAAATCAAAACCCCTCCAGCCCTCAGGTGTCCACCCGATGTCAAACAAAGCAAGTCACAACCACAGACACATTTTCATAGCGAACTGTAAAACTGTGCCCGGTTTTTATTGGGTTCACCAACTGGGAATGATGGTTTTGTATCTCGTATCAAGTAGCATCTCACTACTGACACCTCTTAAATCTCTCTTCACTCAAAAAAACAAAAACAAAAAAACTGTTTTTTTTTTGCCCAGGGACAGACTCTATAAAGCAGCACTTCCCCTGTTTTCCTGACTTCCTGTCTGGGCTATTACCATAGAAACGTATCAGCAAAGACAGAGGTAGAGGAAAACCACGTTTTAAAAACAACATATGACAAAAAAAATGATGTCTAAGAAAAAGTAAAAAAAATATAGGGAAATAAAGGATTTTTTCATGAACAGTCATTTCCATTTTGCAAACAGCAGACATGACCTAAGAGATGATTCCCCTTGCACCTTTTAACACAGTCTATTTAAAAACCAGAAGTTGAAGAAGTAACTAGGCTTAACTAAGGTTACTAATGGAATAATGGAAAATAAATATGTAACTCTGGTTTGGTAAAAGTTGTTGAAAGAATAACTTTAGACATGTTAATTTTCTGACCAGTTTTTCTGACCAGAAGTCTCCATGGAGATGGCATTTAACTGATTTATCTCATTAATGACAGCAGCTAGCACCACCAGGTTACACTACAGGTCAGATCTGTGGAAAGGTGAGCCCAATCATAGTAAGCCCAACCTAAAAACACCTGACATGAAATGAAAGTAACAAATTTAATGTTATATGGAGGAGTATTCAAAAACAACTATGGAGACAAGCACATGGCAACCTCACCTCCAAAAAAGTTACACGATGCAACATTAAAAAGTATAGATGGAAAGTTAGAAATCAGACAATGATCATCTCTGTCAACAAATCACCCCTGACCACAAACCCAACGTTAGACACATGATTACTCCACTTCCTGTTTGGTCTCTAATCTCACACCCATAAAGTGAATTTTTAACACTGGTGTCAACATCACAATTAGAGCAGATCTCCCTGTGATCCCAGTGCAGATTACACAACTATAATGTGTTTAAGGCTGTATGGTACAAGGTGTTGATACAGTACAGCTTTGCTCTGTCAGCACAGACAAGTCCAAACACAAGAGGAAAGAAAAAAGATATTCTGCTGATTTGACAAAAACATCAATTAGTTTTCATATGAAGCACTGAAGCAAATTACACAAATCCTTCTTGGGACTTTTGATTATTGCAACATATAAAACCAACATTGCTTCTTGTAACACTGCTAATTTTACCCACAGAGGAAGATACAATTTTTTATTTATTTATTTTTTAAATATGTTGTAACATCCATTTATTGTAACATCCATTATGAGTGTAGTGTGTGTACAGATATCAAATTATCAGACTGCAGCAACTTACCTGATTTTCCAACATAATGAAACTAGAAGAAAAATATATTATTATTGGGTTTGAAGAAATGCATTGAAATTCAGTAATATTCTGAGTAACAATACATCTTAGTAAGGTTTTAAATGTTGGATACTTTGGATCTTGATAACTGCCAAGACTTTTAAATGGTTATGTATTAAAACTAGTAAAAGAAAGACGTGACTGACTTGACGGTGAATATGAGAGCTATGAAGAAACAATAGAGACAGTCTACCCAAATATATACAAGTCCAAAACCAACTCAGCGATCCATTCAACTCTGGTCTTTAAAATGTTAAATAACCAAATTCAACTATTCAATCCCTGTGGCTTCCAAGAGCAGCTGCCGTACTACCAGTCTGTTTGTCAAAGGTGATCATTTGAAATTTTGGGATATCATTTTACTCAAAAGGGCTGGAAATCTGAAGGGAATGGTTGTACTTTGGAAAACTTCATGGGAACGTTAAAGAATTGTCTGACCACAACTCATCCGTTTGATGCAAGACACTGTGCTCCTGACCACAGAGAGGGGCTGGGACGCACATGTGGCCAACAGCTAATTGACTCCACCAAAATCTCCTCTTTTTCTCTTGTTTTCTTCTTCTTTTTTTTCTTTTGTGTTTCTTCACGCTGCTCTTTGCTACGCTCAACATTTGCTCTGACATCCATCACGGCTGACCTTAACATGTGCCTTCCCCATTATGAATATCCAAACGCCCCTGGCCCACTTTCTCCTCCGTGAGTGTTCCCTTGTGTAAGAAAAATCCTTCTATAGGTAAAATATGCACATACGGTATTGTTAACCCCATAAGCTCATTCAGAAGCATGGTTTTCA